ATGCCTAAGTTTCCTAAGAGAAGAACCCAGAATCTATAGAGTTGGGGCATCTTTGTAGAGATTTGCACCTAGCTGGACCCAAAGCTTAATGGCAATGCAGCTGCACTGGGAAGCAATTTGTGCAGAAATGGATTCTGGCTGTGACCATTAACTTTTTCAGCGGAGCTCTTACGTCTCCCCTGACTTCCTCTTCCCCAGTGCTGCAGACCTCCAGCTGCCCACCCACAGTTCTAGCTAGTGCCACCCACATGATGGTTTTATAATTAAATTTACTCTGAAATACTGAATCACAGTCTCAGTGTGCTCACAGTAGGGCTCAACTACTCTGCACATGGAAGCTGCAGTAAAGTCCTTTCCAATATTCAGGGGTTCTGACATCCTGAGAAAGACTGTACTCAATACCATTTCTGAAATCCTCCTCCAAACAATACAATTCTCCAGGCAGTAATTATTCATGGGACATTGCCCCTATAATACTAAAAGCTTTTGCTTGCATGCAACCTTGAAAAGTGCAGTTTGAACTCTAGGGCACTCTGAAGCCCCAATTTGTACTCTGGGCTGTAGTCAGATATTTCTCGACAGTGATGGGAACCCTCAGTCACCTCTTATGGAGTATTTCACTTTGGTCTCAAACCTGCCCAAGTTCAGGTTTCAAAGAACAAATACCTTTGTTATCAGTTTTCCTGGTCAGAGGCAGACTTTAGCCAACCAGTTCAGATCCAGTATCTCCAAAATTCAGAGACATTTGGATCCAGAGTTGATTCAGTCCTTCATCTGTATATGCAGTAAAAGATGTGAGCTATTATATACAAGTCAATGCCAATGCCATTTTAGGTATAGCTAAGGATCTCTACTATAGCTTACATACCAACACCAGAAGTTAAATTGAGCTTTAATTCTCTGGAACAGTGCTCTATTACTTCTGCTGTACCCTTCTAATTGCATTTAGACTCTCTCACTTCCAGCAGCTACAGGCTGTTACATTTGGTACTGGCTCTGTGCGCTTGTGCACTGATGCAGAAGTTGCCTCAGCACAGCAGAGAAATGGGTAACCTTGAAAGAGCAAAGCAGTAAGATGCCAAGTGAAAGTCTGGAGCTGCTATGACAGGACAGATGTGGAATGCAACCAGCGTGGGAGAAGGGAAGAAAATGTGATCTGTCAAGGAGACCCAGAAAACAAGCCAGGGTCATCTTATAATTTCAAACTACAGATCTCCTTTAAAACTCTACAAATGCATTTTGCTGCAGGACTCTGACCATTCCATATCAAAGGGTTATACCCCTATTCAGAGGCCAATAAGTTATGCTTTAAAGGGCCTAATTTTGTAGTCCTTATATGCTAAAATATCTATGACTTCAGAGAGATGTTTGCCGATACAAAAACTTCAGGATCAGGCCCACTGACATCAACTGCTTTATACAGGTCTTACAGACTGACAGGTATTAAAGCCAAACTGCATTCTCAGTAACAAAAGTTTCAAACTGGGAACTCCTCCACTGTCTTCAGTGAACTTGTTTTGCATTTACACTAGTGTACTGAGAGCAAAGCAGAGTAGGCCATAAATATTTTAGCTGCTTTTCAAGCTTTGTTATTCTGTTTAAAGTAGGAAACATGACACTCCTTTGATTGTTTTGCTTAATAGCAAATAATAATTCAAAGAGAAACAAACAAGTAAATGATACCTGCAATTTGCAGGGAAAACCCAATGGATGTGGAGGGTACTAATGAGGATGGCCAGGATTAAAGAGGCTCCAATTTGTTTCCTGGCAGTTATGGAAACACCATATGTATCAGTGGTCAGCACTAACTCATACCACATGCTGAGGCAACACAACAGGGTAGGCTAGAAGTTGTTCAGCCTCATTTAAAGTGACACTCCTAGGGCATTTTAAAAGTGGCTCTTCTACTCCCACTGTGCATTGCTGCCATAGTATCAGTGACAACATAAAGACAAAAAACCTTCCCAAACCTACTTCTAATCATAACTAAAGTCAAAGCATGCTGTTTCCTTAGGAGTCACCACCTTTAATCTAAATAAGTGAAACTGATCAAAGCTTCTTTGCCAAGAACAGGAATAGAAGAGGGCCCAATCCTGCCATCCTTGCTCACATCAGCAGTCCTGTTGACTTCTTGTGCTTTCAGGATTTTGACCCAAGTTAGTATACTAAGTTAGAAGCAAGCCTCTGACTTAACTTTTTCTACCTATGTATTATACCACGCTCCTCGCCATTAAATGCTGCTGCTAATTGCATTCAACCAGTTGCTTCTGCTATGTTTAAAGACCACAGCAAACTATGGCAACGTCAAAGAACAAGGAAAGCATATTACCATGCAAAATCCAAGACCCGTTATCTGTACATTTATTACATTCTTATCTACACTCTTCCAGAAGCAAGGTACTATAAGGACAAGAGGTCTGATCAGCAATAAGACACATTGTCTTTATACTGGAAATCGCACAAGCAAACCTTTGTTTGTTACTAGGGAGGTTACAAGTAAACTCTCTAGATCCAGCCTTGTGACTTTTCCCAAAGGCCCTGACCAGACTCACCTCTGGCAATGGCATTCCATTGATGATCAGATCCGGCTGCTGGGGACTTTGCCCAGTGAAGGTGTGATGATAGATGTGGTTGGACCCTGTGTTCCTTGTGTTCTGATTCTCGACATTGAGGAAGGTACTTTCAGATCTGCGACAGCCCAGAGGCAAGGTCTGCTGATGATAGTCAAAGTAGTTGAGAGAGGAAGTAAGGGAGGAGCAGCTCACAACATTCATTTTGTCAGTCTCCTCTACATCCCGTGGTACCAGCCGGATATCATTCTTGCTGATTTTTTTCTTCTTGCTTGATTTCTTTTGATGCCCATACGAGTACTCGGCAATTCTGTGGGACAGAAGTGGCAAAATGAATATTTAACAGCATCCTGAACCATGCCCTGATTATTAAATATTAACAACCCCCCAGGGGGTTAGCCCTATCTCCACATAAGCTTCTTATTCATGCACATTACATCATCTTTTGGGTCTTGTGGCAGAATATGGTCTTTAGTTTGTTTTCATATGTATTAAGTTTTCAGGTCAAACAGGAAAAGTAAAGAAAAAGAAACATTCCTCCGTGTTTTGTTTGCTGTTTATAATTGTTGATATTTAGTTACCAGGAATAAAGTTCAGCCTGCAGAAAAGAAAAAATGGAGATGTTAAAATCCACTAACTGAAAAGGGTACCTGAATTAATTTTCATATGTAATAAGTGATTTATTTTTGCTCATGTAACTGAAGTCAGCACGAATATATTTCCCCCTTACCCCCAGATCTTCTCACATAATATGAGATACAACAGCCCCCTCCTCTCCAATATTCTCATCTGGCAAGCTTGTTCCACCATACTCTCAATGCAGTTTGTATATCAAAATTGCTTTTATTCTGACACTTTCATCTTAGCATTTAATAACTTGAAATCTTCTCTCTAACCTTTACATTCTCCCCATGTCTCCCTTCCTACACAAACCCCTTGTTGAGATTTTTTTTTCCTTCTAGAACCTGGGGCACAAAAACTGCATTGTGAAAAGAAAAAAAAAAAAGTTATCCTTGTTGACCTTTTTTAATACAAGCTTCTTTTTCTCTCCCCCTCTTCTTTGAACCTGATAAAAGTACCAACTGATGCTGGATGTGCACCTCTTATTCCCTTGCAATGCACTGAAGAAACAATGTTATCATAAAACAACTTGGGAAGGTGAACAACAATGTTACTTACAGAGATGATGCCAAGTTCAGTTAAGATTGTGGGGGGTTTTAATACATGGGACAGTATATCATGCCATACTGAAATAAGTATGCATACAAGGTGCCAGAAATCACAATACCTCTGAAAGTAAACATGTTAAGCCGTACCTTGAAACACACATACAGAGTCAAAAGTAGTCAGTTCCATTGCCTAATATGATAAAGGTAGGGGTTTTAAACTCAGCAATTACAATACAGATAAATGAGCGGAATACACAATACAGATTTATATAGAAAGGTAATATTGTATAAATATTCTTGCTCTACAAATCGAATTGCCTGAACATGAAAAAAAAAAAAATCACCAAGTCAAACAGCTCTCTCATATAATCTTACGCAACTCATAAATTATCACATTTTATTGAAGACTTTCTACCAGATGTTGATAAGATGAGAGAAAGAGTCTAAATGGGTCCATGAAATGTATGATTGGGGAAACTGATAATCAAAAACACAGCTAAGCCTCTACATTACTTATCTGTGGCTGCAGCTGACTTCTCTTGATCAGATTCACACTGACAATAGAATGTTCATCCCCTTGAGATTGTAAATAAATTAAAGGACTTCATGGGATTATTGTTGCACAAATGATCTATATGCATGCTGACTGATCTAACAATACTTGATGAAGCTTTAATTGTTTTGTTTACCTAAATGTATAAGTTTGGCAATGTGAGATCCCAATTATTTCCTATAGACATTCATTTTGCTGTCCTTTCTCTATTGATCAATTATTTAATTAAACTGCACTTCATTGATCCCTAAACTTTCACACTAGGCCTAGTAGTTATACATACATGTTAAGTTGTTAGGGGTGCTACCAGAATCTGATTTTCTACATTCAGATCCTATTTTTGTTTAATGGACCAAGCTGGCAAGAAATCCAGTGTATTAGCTTTCACTTAAGCCTAGGCATCCCATAATAGAATGCATACAGTGCTTTATTTGCAGATGATTTTCCCCATCAAGCAAAAGGGCTTATAAACATGCTTTATGTTGTGAAAATGGAGTATAAAAACTGAACTCTCAGTCATTATATCTGTGTAAATAAAAGACTGCACATTCTCCTGCACTATAAAATTGCCACAGGCAATCATACGTTTCAAAGGTAAAGCAAAATTAATTTCCATTCCTTCCATCTGAAATGACTCAGTGCTGAAGGAATGGAGGAGTCATGGCTATTTCACTAGTAACAGGATTAGACCATTTATGAGGCATTGCAGCTGCTCTTTTATGGCGTCTGATTGATATTCATGTGTGGTTAGCATTTGTCTACTAACTTGTGTAACACAGAATAGTAAAAGACAGACAATAATCGCATGGCTGTTACATATTCAGGGGACTCAATTTCACATATTAGCCTTTCATAGCAGCTAATGCTTCAGATGCAGATATGACCTAGTGTCTCTAATTAAGGACATAGGATCATACGTACATCTATGACAAAATAATGCAGTGCTGTAAATATGCTGATTGGAAGAACTGATAAGATCTAAACCAACCATTACATTCTCACACTAAATTAGGTATATTCAAAGAAATAAGTTTCATTGGAATCTATTGTCACTTGTAACCAAGAGCTGCATTGTGAACTACATGGGCACAATAGCTCTTTTGAATAGAAAGAAAGGGCTTTAAGGACATTGCTTCACTTCACGAATTCGAGCTGAACCTTGATTTCTTTCATGGTATGTTCTCCCAGCTTCCACTTTCCTTTTATATTTCACCACTCCCAGAGAAAACACATAAGAAGTGCCCATAGTGACATCCTCTGGTGGGGACAGGGTGCAGGCACCAATGCAGAAGAATCACAAACAAATCCCCAACACCAACTGCTATTGTATGTGTGGACTCAATGCTAGGAGCACCCACTATAATTCCCTCTTGGAGGAATTTCCTTTCCACCTACTCAAGGTTTCAAAAAAAATCCAGTGCTGCTTTACTACCAGCAATGCAGCTGTAAGAATCATGGCTTATTCTTCCAATCGTAAAAAACAAACAAACAAGTATTTTCCATCTTTTTTTAAACAATACTATCTGCACTTGGACGTGACTGCAGTAAGTATTCTTTCCTAAGATCTCAGAAGCAGCTGTGCAGAGCAGCTTATTTCTGCTACAGAATACATAAAAAATATTTGAATTTGTATCAGGGTAGACTGTCAAACCACAGTATGACAGTCAGAATAGATTTCCTCACACTTACTCAGAATAGATTTTTTCTTCTTCCTAAAGCACTTCTCCCAAAGTAACATGCAAAGAATAAAAAGAAAAGAGCCCAAAGAATTTTTTTCTAAAAGCAATTTTACAATGTTCATCCTCATTCTTGCTCCTAAAGTAGATATAAATCACAAAGTGTATCATAACGATGGGAAAAATAACCTGGATTTATCAAAGCACACACTGCAAGGTACAAAGAAACAAGCTGACTTTACCTGCAGTTGTAGGTCCTGATTTCCTTGTTATCCCTTTTACACTTTACTGCCACAAAGATCATGGTGACAAAAAGAATAGCTGCAATAGAACCCAGGGCAATAATGAAAATCAGTGACAAGTTAACAGATCCTATGGATTCCTGGGCATCCAGAGATGGAGACAGGTATATCAGAATCAAGGCAGATGCTGAGAGAGAAGTTTTTCCATGGTCATGGGCCACTACAATGAGCTCATAAGCGGTCTTCGAATTCTCCCCAAATGCTCTGGTGGTCCTTATCTCTCCATTGATTTGATCTATTTCAAAAAATCCTCTATCCCCTTCTACCATTTCATAGGATAGTCTTCCATTTTCACCCTCATCATAGTCATCTGCCTTGACTACAGTCACTAGGTAGCCAACTCCCGCATTCCTAGGGATGTACACTTCTGCGGTCCCATTGACCAAGGGAGGGGCAGTGATCACGGGGGTGTTGTCATTAACATCCAGGACAATAACTCTGACGGTGGCATTGCTCTGCAGGGATGGGTTGCCCCCATCTTTGGCCAAGACTTTGAATTCAAATGCCTTGGTCTGCTCATGATTGAAGGACCGCAAAGCATAGATGTCCCCAGAGTTGGGGTTGATGGAAACGTAGGTGAAGACGGGCATATCCCTGACTTGAGAGGGCACAATCTGATAGGAGACGCTGCCGTTAAGGCCCAGGTCAGGGTCCCTGGCAGACACAGAGAGGAGGTAAGCCCCAGGAGTGTTGTTCTCCTGCACAATGACTTGGTAGTAGGGCTTGGAGAAGTGGGGGTGGTTGTCGTTCTCATCAGTGATCTTGACAGTAAAGGACTTGGTGGCCTGAAGGGAGGGGATGCCATTGTCCTTCGCCTGGATAGTGAGGTTGTACTGGTCCCTCTGTTCCCGGTCCAGCCGGCCATCCACGAGGATGGTGGAGAAGCTCTCATACTCCTGCAAGCGGAAAGGCACATTGCCCAGCAGCTTGCACTGCACCCTGCCATTGGCACCTGAATCACGGTCGGAGACCCTCACCAAGGCGATGACATAGCCTGGAGGAGCATTCTCACTCACCTCCACCAGCTCGCTGTTGACTGAGAGCAGGTTGATGAGGGGCGGGTTGTCATTGGCATCCTGCACGGTGACTGTCACCTTGCAGTGGGCCGGGATGGAGTTGGGCCCAAGGTCTTTGGCCTGCACATCCAGCTCATAAACATGGCCCTCCTCATAGTCAATGGCTCCACTGACTGTGATGAGGCCACTCTGGGGGTCGATCTGAAAGAGGTCACGAGCACGCTCAGACACGTAGCTGTGGAAGGAGTAGAGGACCTGCCCATTAGTACCCTCATCAGGGTCGGAAGCATTGAGGTGAAGAAGGGGAGTGCCCGGAGGCGCATTCTCAGGCACACTCACAGTGTAGGCCAGCTCCTCAAAGAGCGGGTTGTTGTCGTTGGAGTCGATAACCCGGATGCTCAGCTCCACGGTGCCCAGGTTGGGAGGATCACCACCATCCAGGGCCGTGATCAGGTAACTGTAGTGGGACTGGGTCTCACGGTCCAGGCTCTTCTCCACTACCAGCTCGGCGAAGCGGGACCCATCGCCACGTATCTTGGTCTCCAGGCCGAAGAGGTCATTGGGGGTGATCTGGTAGCTCTGCACGCCAAAGCTGCCCGAGTCAGGGTCGTAGGCACTCTCCAGTGGCACTCGCGTGCCTGGGCTGGCTGTCTCTGAGATCTCCAGCTCTATCTGGTCTGTGGGGAAGCTGGGCGCGTTGTCATTTAGGTCCTTGATCTCCAGTTTGATCACGCAGATCTCCATGGAGCTGGACATTACCTCCAGCGAGATCACACACTTGGGGCTCTGGCGGCACAGCAGGTCCCGGTCAATCTTCTGCTTGGTCACCAGCAAGCCCGAACTGGGGTTGATGTCTACCAGGTGCGGTGCGGAGTTAGACACCACGCGGAAGGCGGCGGGTTGCCGCGGATCCAGCACGAAGCCAGCCTCACGCGCGTCCTTGGCCACGTTGGCGATCACGGTGCCCGCTCGCTGTTCCTCCTCCACAGAGTACTTCAGGTTGATGAGGGCCCCAGCCCCGGCCCACAGCGCAGCAGCCGCCAGCAGTAGCGGGAGCACATCCATCTCCAGCTGCCTGTTGATTCTGAGCCTGGGGGAAGCGTGGGGGGAGCAGCCGCGCTTCCTCAGGCCAGGGGGCTACGGGCTCCTCCAAGCCGCGGGTGGGGAGGGCCGTTGGGGGCAAGTGGCAGCGTCCCTGGGCATCGAGGGCCAGTGGGGACAGGGCTGCCCCTGCGCCTGGAAGGAGTCAATGCCTGGGCCCAGCGGGAGGGAAGGAAGCGGCAGGAGCAGCT